AAGGCCAGCCAATCAGAAAACAGATAGTCAAAGTCCCTTTGTGGTGATATACTAGCTTCCAGCTCTAATGTCGGTGAGGATTTGGGATACCTGGGTAGGGTAGTGTTAGATCTCTTCTCCACAAGTCAAGCCAAGAAAGCAGAAGCTTTACAATAAAATCCAGGGTAACATTATCAATTAAATTGTTTATTCTTTGAATAATATTTTAATTTTTAGTATTTTAGAGATATTTTAATAAAATGACATCTTAAATTTTATAATGTAAAACCAGCAATAGTACCAGCATCACATCCACTTACTATTACCACCGCAGCAAGGTCTTAAATCTTTTAAGCTGTATTTTGAAACATGAAGTATAATATAAATTTTTTCAAGTATCAATGACATTTATAAAAGAATTTCATCCATTTGTTTATGCTCTTTGAGTTGGCACTTGAGAAAGTTGCTATGCTAACAGTAATCTCCCAGGATCCTCTGTCTTCTCCCCCTTCCCACTCCTACTCGCCTCCCCCACAGCTCTCCTCCCCACGGCTTCCTCTCTCAGCTCCCAGCACTTGGACTAGGACCTCTCAAAAGTGATATGCATTCCTGTCTCTTCTAATTGCTCCTCTTGAGTCTTGATCCATTTTCTCTCCATGTCCGATTCTGCTGCACCAACCCTTTTATCTGTATGTCTGGTGCTCAAACTCATCAAGAACTGTGACTTGATTGGGCTGGTTTAGAACCATCCAACATGGAGTGTGTGTGTGTGTTGGGGGGGTCCTTTTGGGCAGAGTCTTTGATCTTCTTCATAAGCTGGTGGTCTAGACCACTTTTATTTTTTTATTATTTTATTTAAATTCAATTAATTAACATATAGCATATCATTAGTTTCAGGTGTAGAGTTCAGTTGGCTTAGACCACTTTTAATCAAAGTATGGTTTAGTCTTACCAGGAAGCTTGTTAGAAATGCAGAATTTCAGACCTCACACCAGAACTACTGAGTTAGAATTTGTATGTTAAAAAGATCCCAAGTGATTCATATGCACACTAATGTTTGAGAAGAACTGATCTAATTGTCCCTTATTTGATCATCATGGCAGAGCTGCAGCTGATATACATATACAAGTTTGGGAAGCACCGATTTACTTGTCCCTTGTCATATCATCAAAGCCAGGCATAAATAGGCATGGCAGTATTAGCATAAGGAACTGTCTGAGCCCACCTTTCTCCAAAGGTGACAGTATAACTGGTAGGTATTTGAGGCTTTGTAGCTATCAGATTTAGACATAGTTCAGAATAGAATAGTGTAAAGACGGAATACCATGGACAGCGCTCTAGGCCTGCTACATGAGAGATATGTAGGTGGTGGAAAGCTCAAAGGGTAATTTGTTGGTCTAAGACACAGTGGGTTTGAATTCTGGCTGTATCATTACCTAGCTCTGGGAATTGAACTTGTTAATTTACCCTCCTTAGCTTCACTTTCCTCATTTGTTAATGGGAATGGCAATACTTATTTACTACAGGTTGTTTTGAAAAGTTACTGAAAAAAATATCACCAGACAGGCAGGTCTGGTGTACAATAAATATTAGTCCCTTCCCTTTTCCTGTCTTGTAAAACCTCAATTGGAGTTAATAAAACAAAGTCCTTGCAAAAGAAAAATAACAAGATCCCTCTAGCTTGGAGCTAATGTCCATGGTTTTGACACCAAGGCTGTCAGAATTGGTGGCGGTCGTGGAAGAGGTGGACATCTGGCACCCGTAGTCTTCATACCATTTCAGTAGCTGAAGGAGCCCTGGGAGGGGGGCTGGAGGGCAGGCATACTTAGCTCTCTACACCTTCATCCTGCAGGACGGGGGTCCCGCACAGCCATTGGGGATTCAGCCTGGGATCTGGCCCTACACAGGGGATTGTGAGAAGCCATTCTTTGGAAGACTCAGTTGTTGACCCAGGTCTGTTCAGTTCCCCTCTGGCTGTTAATTATACCACCACCACTCCCCTGGAGCTGAGCCCCTGCCTCTGAGCCATAGTCTTCCTTCTCTTTATGGGTGGGTTGCATCACTTTGTGGAGCAGCTCGCCCATGTAGGGCTTGTCTTGGTTAAGCCTTGCATGGCTGCTGTGCCTTCATGGCTGTAGCTACTTTCCTTGTTCCCCATAGCTTTGTTCTGACATTCTCATACCAAAATTTGTCCACTTCTTATGTCTACTGACTCTTCAGAGATTACTCTGCCTCCTTTCACTTTTATATAAGCTGAGTTTTAATAATCTCTCTTCTATGCCACAAGTCTAAAGGCTAAATTTTAATCTGCATCAGATTAAGATTATATTTTAGCTTTTCTCATGAAATTTTATTTTATTTACATGTGCATCTAAAAGATGTTCACTTCAGGGCGTCTCTGAAAATTTATTTATTTTTATTTTTTTTAAGATTTTATTTATTTATTTGACAGAGAGAGACACAGCAAGAGAGGGAACACAAGCAGGGGCAGAGTGAGAGGGAGAAGCAGGCTTCCCGTGGAGCAGGGAGCCCGATGCGGGGCTCGATCCCAGAACCCTGGGATCATGACCTGAGCCAAAGGCAGGCGCTTAACGACTGAGCCACCCAGGTGCCCCGTCTTTGAAAATTTAAACCACATTTGAACTAAAGACGAGGTAATGCTCAAAAATGATCTGATAGGACCAGGAAGCAGCAGTTGGCCAGGCTTCCATGAGTGGGTGGGCAGGTCTGCCTACCAGAAGAGCTGTGAGAGTAAAATGCAGCAAGTGGCTCTCTGGGATCAAAACATTAAATTCATCTGGTTTCTAACTTGTTTCCTGGACATCGAGTTTGCCAGTATTGATTCTCCCTTTTGCCTTCCATATTGCTTCACTGCACGTGATTTATGCTCATCCCCATGACTGAACCTGGACACTCAGGCAAATAATTCAGTACCAAATAACAAATGGTCACTCTTTATTTTTTTTTTAAAGATTTTATTTATTTATTTGAGAGAGAGAGAGAGAGAGAGAGCATGAGAGGGAAGAGGGTCAGAGGGAGAAGCAGACTCCCTGCTGAGCAGGAAGCCTGATGTGGGACTCGATCCTGGGACTCCAGGATCATGACCTGAGCCGAAGGCAGTTGCTTAACCAACTGAGCCACCCAGGCGCCCCCAAATGGTCACTCTTTAAATATTGGCTCAACATCTAATGAGAGCAAAGACTTAGTGCTATGTGGGAAGGGCATAGAAGAACGAAGAATCACTGGTGCAGAGCTCCTTGTCCCAACTCTGCACAGAACATTTCTTTCTTTCTTTTTTAAAGTTTATTTATTTAAAAAAAAATTTAAAAAATAAAGTTCATTTACTTAAGCAATCGCTACACCCAACGTGGGGATCAAACTCACCATCTGGAGATCAAAAGCCGCATGCTCTACCCACTGAGCCAGCCAGGCATGCTGGCAGGGAGAATTTCTGCGCTGATCCCAAACTGGCCAGCTCTGCTTCCTGAAGCCTTCTAGTCCCTCTCCCTGGAAGAATCTGGTGACCACCTCTGTCACTCCAGCAGGCCCTTGGGTACCGTTCCTTAAAACCTGCTTATGGGAATTTCGCTTCCAAGCGCACACACTACTTCTCCCACACAGGTCACGTGTGCGGACACAGTGGTGAATGGGGCCCCGAAGGTGCTGGTGCATGGCTAGCACCTTCCGCCATATCTCCTTCATGGTGGCCAAAAGCCTGTATTTTGGGAACGTGACAGCATTCACTGCTGTTCTAAGGGGCTGGTGTGGTAACGGAAGTAGAAAGGGAGTCCTTCTTTACCCCAGTGTCTACCCCCTGACGCTAAAGCCTGGAGGGTTCCTATACCCATCCTTTCACCTTTGTAGTTATAGATAAATCCCCTACTTGATTTTTTTTTTCAGTTCCTCCAAACAATTTTAAGCTATTCATGCTCTTGCTAAAATTCGTGTGTGTATCCTAAATCTATGAAACATGGCCCTATTGTTTGGACTTACTAACTTTTCAAAATGAATTTAAAAATGAAGTTAAAGGAAAAAAATTGAACACACACACACGCCACATTTTCTGCACCGAAAAGGAAAACAAACCCAAACACCCCACATCTACGAGTTCCCTGATACAGATTTCAAAGGGGAAAGACTTGAGCTGGGTCTGTCAGAGGGGCAATCTCTCTAGAGTACATTTTTGTTGTTATTTGTCAAACCAGACATCTCTCCGTGAGCACACGGCCAAGACCCAGGTAACTGTGCACTGTAATAAGAGATAAGAGTGTTTTTATAAATTATGCAAATACACAGCGCTTTCCTGATGGCCAGAACAATCTAATTGCCGACCTTAATCCGGGCCCTCGTTCCCAGCCCCCGCCGGGTGGCGTTTCCTGCCTGCCCCTCGGCGCGGCCTCAGGTGAGTCCCGCGCGGTCCGCGCTCTCGGGCCTGCGGGAGGGGCTGCAGAGACAGCGGAGGGCGGGCCGGGGCTCGGGGGCCGGGGTGGGGGGGGGGCAGACGGAGATCCGGGCCCTGACTGCAGCTTCCTCCCGGTGGAGCCGCATTTCCAGGCACCTCCGCAGCCCTAGCCCTAGCGCGCCGAGCCTTTCCCGGCCGTGCCGCCTGGAGGCGCGGAGCCCGCCGGGCGCGCCCAGCCCTGCAGCTCCGGCCGGGGCGGAGGCCGCCGGACCGCGGAGATGCGGGGCGGGGGCAGGGCGCGGGGTAGGTGACTTTATCCCGCCTCTGTTTCCCTGCCCCGGGGAGCAATGACATCACGCGGCCTTCTCCAGGCGCCGACACAAAGAGCGGCGCGGAGAGGCCGCTGCGGGGGGACCCGGCGGCCGCCGCTGCCGCCCCGGGTCCTGGGGCCCCGCCGGCCCGGCCCGCCGCCCGCGG